AAAATGTAAACACAGGTAGTCATTGCAGTTGCTGCTAACATCCCAAATCATGAATACTTTATATTCATTCATTTGGCCTTTTCTCCGACATAAGAGACACTTCTATCGAGAGATTTATGTAGCAATCAACTACTGTATCTCCAAAATATAGACATGAATACCACACATTTTAAGTGGTCTTTAACACAGGCCAACAATAGCTAGCATATTGGAGCATCAAATTTGTGAAGATAGCATGATATTTAATTGCTGTAACAATCTTATGTCCAGCATTCATACAAATGTTGTTTTTTTTTTTGTTTTTTTTATATAGCAAAAAGTTGATGGATGTGAGCACTGTAGAGAGTTTTTTAACACTGAGGGGAGAGTGAAACTGGCTAATACAGTGAAAGAAAGTTCCACCGAGGAAGACACTGATGAGGAGAAGGAGTCCTTGAAAAACCAACTGCGGGAAATGGAGCTAGAACTTGCCCAGACCAAATTGCAGTTAGTAGAAGCGGAGTGTAAAATACAGGTAGATTACTATGTCATGGTTTTTTTTGAGGGGGGGGGGGTTTGCTTTTTTTATGGAAGTGGTGTGGTACCCAGGGTTCTGAAAACAGCATACAGTTCAATACATTTTATAATACTCTTCCAGAAATCAGCACTCACTGAATTCTTCACATACATGTAGTGCACTTTTGCACAAGTTCAAGAAAAACATCTGTGTTCTCTGCTATTACTGATATAATCAACTAACTTATGAGACCATTATCTATATTTAAGTTTATGCAACTAGTTAGAATGCTTTTCTGTTGTCTGAATACATACTTTTTACTCTCTTTCTGTTGTCTGAATACATACTTTTTACTCTCTTTCTGTGATCAGAGACAAATGTAGAAATTCACTGTGTACATTCATTTATTTGACGTATGTTTGCATTTTAGGATCTGGAGCATCATTTGGGTCTTGCCCTAAATGAAGTTCAAGCAGCAAAGAAGACCTGGTTCAATAGGACCATTAACACCATAAAAACAGCCACAGGAGTACAAGGCAAAGAGACCTCTTAACCAATAACTATTGTAAATTAATCCTGTCTTTTTGAAAACATAACACCTTCTGTTGCCTTCCTTGGCCAGATATATTGGTTTGCCTACATATAAGTGGACCAGGAGAGCATTATGGCAAGATGGAAGTAGGTCAGTGCCTGTAAATTATACACAAGTCTCACTTAGGCAGCTGCGACCCATGCTCACTCACTTCCACAGCTTAAAAGGAATGGACACAGGCACTACGCAGGTGGCGGAATTGAAAAGACCCATATATTTGAAAGGCTAAAAATGGTTTGCCCAGTACATTGAAGGGCTCCATGGCTTATGTGTCATTGATTCACTGGCAACAACATCTTTTAAAATATATGTGAAAGCAGGGCTCTTTACTCAGTTTAGTGCCTCTGTAAAAGTTCTCAAAATCAGAAAAGAAGTAATTGTGCTCTTCTGGTAAAATGTCAAGGAACTCAAGTTCATTTATGTGACCCAGATTAGATTGGGAACATTGCATGGTGTCCATCTTGCATGGTACTGGAAGGTCAATGATAAATCCATTAATTGAAGCTTTTTGATGCATATATTACCAATTTTTTTCTGCATATCTCAATCACTGTATGTTAGATTTCAGTGTGATACTTATTGCATATTGAGGTTTTCATATTAACACCCTTTATTATCAGAGAGGCCCACTGTGCATTCCTTGAGAAACATGTTACTGCTCCCCTTGGCTGTGCAAGGTTTAGCTAACATGTAAACATGCCTTCAAACATTAATTTGTCTTTTAACTAAAGATAAAGAACCTGCTGCAGCTCATCAGCATATGTCTTTTTCTGTAATGATGTGATACAAATTTCTAACAAGACCCTTCACAGAAATATTACATATTCTTACACTCATTTTTTAAAAAGAGCTGATATTTATCACAAAAATATAGATGTTCTTGAATTTTTACCTTATGAGACTGTAAACCAATTCCAATTGCAAGTCTGGTGCAGTTGACTGTTGCCTCGGCTATCCTTGATCATCAGGGAAGATTACATAATACTCTTTGATATGTTGTAAAATCACTGGCATTGGATTGCCTGTTGCAACCTCAACAAAGTGCAGTTTATACCTAAATATTCTGAGTGTCATGTCTCTCTTAGATATGCACATCTTCCTGACAAAGTAACAGGAAGCAGCCAAGGATCCTGCACTTCTTCACATGAAAGGAGTGGTCTGTGTCTTAACTGCTTTTCTTTACAGCCATTTAAAAAGGATGTAGGCACCTTGCACTGCTAAAAGAGCATTGGGCTTTGCTCTTAACGTTTTGGCTGCTTGTGGAGCACCTGTCTATCTGTCTGGTCAGTTTGTTCCATTTTCATCATTTGCACCTCACACCTGTTGTTGCTGATGTTTTTTTATTATTATTATTTTATGAGCTTGCTTAACTGTTCAACTCTTTTTGAAGTGGATGATTTTCAAAGTTCTGTAGAGTGATTTATAGGACCCTTGTGAAGCCAGAAGCTGCCAGAAGCCACTAATTGAAAAGTACATTTTCTTGAGTGTTCTCTCCAGCAAATCCTTTAGCATGTAACACTTGTCTCCAGCACTTCTGAGGTTTGCAATGTCACTGTCTCCTTGCTCACAAAGAATGGTACACCTTATTCTGTCATGTAGGGAGGTAGTATACAGCAGTAAAAGGTCTGCACTTTTGGTGCTCAACGCAAGGCACATCTCATTCCTTTGGAGTTTAAATGTGTAGAAGTCATATGTAGAATGGCAATTTTGAACCATGTACAATGATTTTCTTTTATTTATGTTTGTTTTACTGGCGTCTGTTGCATCAGTGGTAAGGTTGTTTGAGGTGTAAGCTGGTTACACTAAGAAGCACTGGTTTGTGTATATATATATATAAAGTTTGGTTTATTTTGTATATCAATTTTTTTCTTCTTAGTTTATGTACTAACGCTAGCTGCTGTAAAATGTTATATCTGCAGGATAATGTGACCTGCTAAAAAATTTTTTTTCCCCATAACTGTCATTATTGTTTAATACCAAAAACATACTGTCCTTATTTCCGAAGTGTACAAAATAGTGCTGGTGTAGGTGCGGTGTGTATACCTGATGATCTGAAATATATAAACTACTATCAAATTTGCCTACTGAATTGTTTTGCTTCATTGTTTCAAAGTAGCATCTACGACTTTACAGAAAGACCGAGACTATGTGAAGTTGAGAGGGTGCTTCCCATACTGGCAATTAAAAAAAGTTTCACTGATTTTAACTGAAGGTAATTTATGCAGCTCCTACTATATAAAAATTGTCTTTTACACTTGACCCACTTGTGTCCTTTAGAAAGTGCAAACCACATAGAGATAATCATAAAAACTACACTGGATACAACTAAAATAAAACTGTTGGAAAAATTATGTTGTATAAAAATATCTAAGAAAAGCAGTAGAAATATAGAACAATCAATTCTGAATGTTAGGTACTGAACCCCACCTTGAATAGCCCTTATAACCTACAAAAATTGTTGCAGTTTATTGCAGCTGCCCTGTTTAATTCAGCTACAAAGACAGCAGATTCAAAAAGTGGGGTTTTCGTTCAGGATGGTGTCTAGAAAGTGCAATCTCTCCTTATATACTTCATTATTCCCATGGACATATTCAGCACGTTTAACAAACTGTCTGCAACATTGATGAAAAAAATAAATAAAAGCAAAGTTGTACATGCTAAATAAAGATGATTATATACATTTACAGTGAGTATTGCTAATCTATTTCCATTTTAGAATTGCTCTCTTTTCCCTCTGTTCCTAAAATATCAGATAGCACCTGTACATGAGAAGAACATTGTTTAAGATTTTACATGATGTATATCATAAATATAGGTATTGTTCTCCAATTTTAGTTCAAAATAGACTATTATGGGACACAAACGTGTTCTACAAAGTACAGGCAGCTCAGCCATTGAGCTGTCATCTGCTCTTCTCCTGATGTCACACAAATGTCACTTTCCTTGTTAGAATATGCTGATTGCTAGTCCTACAAAACTGATTGCAGAGGGTTCCTTGTGTTTTTTGTTTTTTTTTTAGCTACTTGCCAATAATTTGTTAATATTTTCTTTTTATCTTGACATTTTTACAATATTTCACTAAACCATGATGACAAGCACTTAATTATAGCAGAGCCAAATAACAACATGTATTGCAAATGCATCCATACTACTTTGTTTTTTCCTGCCACAGATGAAAGTAAGCATATTTTGGGACACGTATATTTGATCATACACTGATCAGCCACAACATTAAAACCACCTAGCCAATCGTGTAGGTCTCCCTCGTGCTGCCAAAACAACTCTAATGCGTTGAGGTATGGATTCCACAAGACCTCTTAACATTTCCTGTGGTATCTGGCACCAAGACATTAACAGCAAATTCTAGTCCTGCAAGTTGCGAGGTGGGGCCTTCATGGATTAGATTTGTTGCTCCAGCACAACCAACTGATGCTCAGTTTGTTTGACTCTTTGTCGTGTTCCTTAAACAACTCCTGAATAACTTTTGCAGTGTGGCAGGGTGCATTATGATAGAGGCCACTGCCATCAGGGAACACCATTACAATGAAGATATGGACATAGTCTGCAACTTTCGCTATGTAGTTTGTATATCCATATGAATACCACAACCCAATGTTTCCAGTGTGTCCTGACACCTTTTTACCATGCCAGCATTAAGCTTTGAACCAATTTGCGCTGCAATAGCTCTTCTATGTAATAGACGGGCTAGCCTTTGCTTCCTATATGCATCAATAAGTCTTGGGCACTCATGACCCGGACTCCAGTTCCACCGATTCTCCTTATTTGCACCACTTTTGATAGGTATAACCACTGCATACCGGGAACACCCCGACAATACTTGTCATTTTGGAGATGCTCTGACTCAGCCTGACTCGACTAGTCATCACTGTTTGGTCCCTACCAAAGTTTCTCGGATATTTTCGCTTGCCTATTTTTCCTGCTTACCACACATGAAATTCAAGAACTGACTGTTCACTTGCTTCTTAATATGCCTTGACAGGTGTGATTGTAATGATATAATCAATATTATTCACTTCACCTGTCAGTGGTTTTAATGTTGTGGCTGATCAGTTTAGCTTGCTTTTGAATATGAAACAATTATTACAGAGAATTAAATCTAGCATTTCTAAAACAACGATATATCTGCATCAAATCTGCTTTTTGAAGTTCAATGGATCTATTTATGTGAAATTTAAGAATACTGGATTCAATGACATATCATCATCAAGATCCCTAAGTACAGTATTTGTATCAAATAAATAAGATGGAGTTACTGACCAAAACAAATTTCAGGAAAAAGCCCTACTTATTTACCACCCCATCCATTTCTGTTGACTGGGACATTTCCATTTCATGTGACATTTTAGGATCAGATAAAATGTTTGTATTGTAGAATTATCCTTGTATCAAAAAGTATTTTCATTTAAGTTTGGGAACAGGTGGTAGAAACTTCATTACATATGGGTAGTACATCCCTTCCTAATCCTTCATTGGAATAATAAAGTTTAAATGCTTACTCTATGCACCATAGCACTGGATTATTGGTGTTTACAGAATCCAGCATCTACTCTGAGCTCTAAAGATAGCTAGCTTTCCTCTGCATTTTGACTAAAAGGCTCAATGCTGTCTTGAAGGCTTATTGAAAGGAAGGGGCCACTCAGGATTTTTAATATTGTGTTAACTTATTCCAAATATTTAACATATGTATTTATGAGGTGTGAAAAGTAAATTTGAAGGATCACTAAAGGCACTCAGATGACTACATGTAAAATACCCCTAAATGAGTGATGGGTTGGCTTAGCATTTAGAGATGTCCTACTTCATGATGCTGTGGACTTTAAATCATGGGTGAGAGTTATGCCTCATTGCATTTAAGGAGTACTCTGTACAAGCACCCTTAAATAACTAATACTGATTTAAAGACACAAAACTGTACCAATGTTTTAAAAGCACCAGATACTAACAAGATGGCCTACAAATACGAACTGTAATATACCCTGTGTGTCTACTTTTGTAAATGGTGCAATTTATGGAGTAGTTTGAAGTTATGGACTGCTAAAATGCACAGTAATATGAAATGGGTAAGTAATTTGATTCTAATAAATACATGGGAAAGATATATTTGAGAATTATTGAATAGGTCTATCCTCAGAGAATTTTGTAGAAGCTGCTGACACGGATGTAAAAAAATTGAACGTAGACCAATATGCTGCATAGACAGCCATTTCAAAGCTGATAGAAGCTAAGGTGCCCATGTATTGTGGATATTATGCCCAGAATGAATATAGAAGCAATATTGGTGATACTGGAGTCTGAGAATTTCTCTCTTAAAATGGATGCTCTGCTGCATAAATTACAATGATGCATTAAAGAGTGTTTAATAGGTATAATGGGAGAAACTGCCATGGGCTGGATCAGAATTATGAGAGTGTATGGATAGGCTGAAGACAAAAGCTGGTAAGTGCTGATAATATCCAATTAACCTATGGCTGGTAAGGCGTTCGGAAAATGTAGTCCTTTACTTAAAGGAACACTATATTCACCTAAGCAACTTAAGCTTAATGAAGCAGTTTTAGTGTGCTTCTCAGGTTTTACTGCTCAATTCACTGCCATTTAGGAGTTAAATCACTTTGTTTCTGTTTATGCAGCCCTTGCCACACCTCCCCTGGCTCTGATTGACACAGCCTGCATGAAACAAATCTGGTTTCTCTTTAAATCAGATGTAATTTACCTTAAACAATGTTATCGTTTGCTATGTAAATTGAACTTTAATCACATGCAGGAGGCTCTTGAAGGTTACATAGTTAGTTACATAGTTACATAGCTGAAAAGAGACTTCCATCAAGTTCAGCCTACCTCACATTTGTTTTTTGCTGTTGATCCAGAAGAAGGCAAAAAAACCCAGTTTGAAGCACAATTTTGCAACAAGCTAGGAAAAAAATTCCTTCTTGACCCCAGAATGGCAGTCAGATTTATCCTTGAATCAAGCAGTTATTACCCTACATTGAAAGATTATATCCTTGAATATTCTGTTCTTGCAAGTATGCATCTAGTAGCCGTTTGAACATCTGTATGGACTCTGATAAAACCACTTCCTCAGGCAGAGAATTCCACATCCTGATTGTTCTTACAGTAAAAAAAAACTTTCCTTTGCCTTAGACCTTTGCCTTTGCCTTAGGTTCTAGCAAGCTATTAACATAGCAGGGGATAAGAAAATCTAAATTAAACAGAACTTGCAATAAAGAAAGGATAAACTTTAGATTATTCTAAAGGGAGTGTTTAGGAAGGCTGTGCAAATCACATGCAGGGAGGTGTGACTAGGGTTCATAAACAAAGTGATTTAACTCCTAAATGGCAGATAATTGAGCATTGAGGCTGTAGAGGCATGTTCTATACACCAAAACTGCTTAATTAAGCTAAAGTTGTTTTAGTGACTATAGTGTCCCTTTAATAGCAGCTTCATTCATGAAGAGATCTCCATGGATGTGTGTGTAGGGGGATGGAACATGGTATACTATCATATGCCTACTTCTGTATGTCACAGCACGTGCATAACAGTACATCCTGCAATGAGGTCAGGAGGTCAAAAGAGTAGCCATATTCTGCGGCTAAGATGCAAGTGAACTAGTTTACACACTTGTTATGCTTGTGCCACCAAAATCTCAGGCACTCAGTCCATCAATGATCATTGTTACTGGTCACTCTGTATGCATGACTTCAAGTCTCTGAGTCAAGATTCTGATTAAAAAGATGTACCGTATATACTCGAGTATAAGCCGAGTTTTTCAGCACATTTTTTGTGCTGAAAAACCCCCAACTCGGTTTATACTCGAGTCAGTGTCTGTATTATGGCAACTTACATTGCCATAATACAGACTGGGGGCTGGCAGCGAGCGCTTACCTCTCCTGCAGCTCCCTGCTCCTCCGCGCCGGTCCGTGCAGCACCTCGGTCAGCTCCCAGTGTAAGTCTCGCGAGAGCCGTGGGGTCATAGTGCGGCTCTCGCGAGACTTACAGTGTGAGCTGAGAGAAGAGCTGCACGGACCGGCGCGGAGGAGGAGAGAGCTGACAGGAGCTGCAGGAGAGGTAAGTAACAGCTCTCTGCCAGCCCCCCTCCTCCCACCACTGAACTGCCAATGCCACTGGACCACCAGGGATTGAGAGTCCCCCTCCCTGCCATGTATCAAGCAGGGAGGGGGGACAACAAAATAAATACATTTTATAATATATAAATAATAATAATAAAAAAAATAAAAATAATATAACAAAAAAAATTAGAATATATATATATTTTTTTATAAAAATGCCCACCCCCCACCAAGGCTCTGCAACACAAACACACGCTGCATCACACACACACACTGCACTCATACACAAACACTGCACTCACACTGCGTTTATGCACACACTGCACTCATACACAAACACTGCATTCACACACACTGCACTCACACACACACACTGCACTCATACACAAACACTGCACTCACACTGCGTTTATGCACACACTGCACTCATACACAAACACTGCACTCACACACACTGCACTCACACACACTGCACTCATACACACACTGCACTCATACACACACTGCATTCACACATACTGCACTCATACACAAACACTGCACTCACACACAAACACTGCACTCATACACACACTGCGCACTCATACACACACTGCGCACTCATACACACACTGCGCACTCATACACACACTGTGCACTCATACACACACACTGCGCACTCATACACACACACTGAATTCATCATATACACACACTGTAAATAAATATTCAATTAATATAATTTTTTTAGGATCTAATTTTATTTAGAAATTTGCCAGTAGCTGCTGCATTTCCCACCCTAGTCTTATACTCGAGTCAATACGTTTTCCCAGTTTTGGGGGGTAAAATTAGGGGCCTCGGCTTATATTCGGGTCGGCTTATACTCGAGTATATACGGTAAGTCTTTTTTGGAGATTATACAATATAACATGTAGACCATATGTGGCACAAGTTTAGATTGAAATGTTTTACTACACTTGAATGTTAGTCCATCAGGGCCTGGTCTCTTTCCATGTAGTGACCTTTCTACATGATAGTAGGACATTCCAAGGCTTCTCCTCTACTAGAGTCTAATCATGTATAGAAATATTTTGCAAGTGAGGTCTAAAGACAGTCTTTATGTGAAATCTGGTGGACCATTTCTTCAGACAACTTAAGATTTTATAGAGAAGAGCAGAACATTTGAAGCACCTTGGTGACCTACAGGGTTATTTACTAAAATGTGAATTCAATGTGTTAGGCAAAAGCAGCAAAATGGAACCATAGCTGTCTAATATAAGGTTTTTGTAAGCCACTTGACGTTAAATCTGATATTCACTTTGAATTCCCTTTACTGAATAAACCTAATGGAGATGAGATAGCAATGAGAGCTATTCACCATGAATGTTCTTTGAGCAAGTTTATAAATGGTTTGCCACTCAAATATGTACAGGGCTGATCAGAGAAATTTTAGGTGTGTTACTAACATAATGACTTTTTTGTAGTTTAAAATAAAATCATTGTGAGTAGTGTTGTGTAGCTCTGTGTCACAGACATCAAACATACGGAGCTCCAATAAAAAAGAGAAATTAGGATAGAACAGAGGGGCAAGTGGGATTTGTTCCCAAAATAGAGACTGTTGCTCATAAATAGGGACAGTTGGCAGGTATGCCCTCCCTGCATTGCTTAGTCAATAAATACAGAAGGGTTTTCAAGGTGTTTTTTGTTTTTTAAATCTAATATTCTACTTGACATCCTAACCACATTCTTGCACCTTTTTTTTTTCTCACTGCTGTTATATTCAGAGTCATTAAGAATACGAGAATAAAATATATAAATATATATAAATAAGTTATTGCTTAGAACATATACAAAGTATGATATAAAATAAAGAACAGAAAAATGTCCATCATATGAAAATATTTATAACATATCAACAATGTGTCGGTTGGTAACATATGTACAGAATATTGAATATCTCTTATATGAACACACAGACCATATTGTTGCACCATTGTGGAGAATAGCTACTAGTTTCAGTATATGGCCCCATCCTATCTGCTAACATTTTGCAGCTTACTCCAGTGTTCTAATCATATTTACCACAAGGTGGCACTTGTCATTAGGTTTGCTAATGCTTTATCACTAAGAACATCTTTATCAAATTCTGTTTCTGCTACTGACTGACCTGTAAGCATTACAAGAAAAGCATTAAATGTTTATTAA